TATGGCGTCCGATATGAGTCCTTCGTCCTTGGCTTGGGTTAAGCTGTCCATAAACACGAGCATGTTTGTTACGCATGAACGGTTTGGGAGAAATCCGTGTTGAGCTGGAGATATCAGATTGCTGGAAGTAAGGTGATCTAGGATGGCTCGCTTCAGAATGCGTTCCATCACCTTGCACGGCACGCTAGTGAGGCTTGTAGGCCTATAGCTGCCAGGCGATATTCGGTCACCAGTTATTTAGCTTTGCTTACAAATTCCTCCTGTGTAATTGGAAATTCAGCAATAACAAATTCTGCTTCGAAAAATTATAAAAAATATTTTTATTCTTTTCGACAATGGGGCCAAATATCGTTGGTTTGTCTAAGCATAGGTGATCAAGACTTGATCCTCTAGAAGAGCCCAAACTTTCAAGCTACCGCAACCTATCTTTTCGATTTCGAGTGAGGCGCATTGTCACATACGGGGATGGGACGTGGATAGTAGAGTGCCAGAAGATTGAGGGAATGTTCTGCGTACTGGTGTGGGAATTCTGAGTTCACGTGTTACAGCAACTGCGAAAATGGCCCCTGGTAGAAAGGAAGCCGACCTCAATTCTGCCAAGAACACCAGGGCCAAAGGACTTCGGTCGTGCCTGAGGGAAACGTTGTCTCAAAAGTTTTTGGCTGAAGAACAACACCAAAACACTCAGAGATTAAGGTTGGCCGATATTTTGAAATGTTTGGACGTACTAATGGCCTATTTTGACCACATCCTATTTTGGTCATATCCTCATTGGCTACCATGCCTCATCATTGTCCGCCTTTGAATTTGGTGGATAATTTTCCAAGGAATTTATTTTTGTCCACTTGTTGTTGTGTTTTCATACTACATCGGCTATCTCGGCCAGTCTTTGGTCTCTAGATTAACTAAAAAATATATCCTTTTTCGGGCTTATCTGACTCACTGTCATCCCGTCTTATATTTTTTCGGACGCCGTCTTTTCTGAAGCCTCTGGCATTCACAAGACACTATTTCCCTCATTCTATTCCTCCATTTTTCCATCCTCTCCCAAAGCTTCAAAATTTCGTTGTGGTTCTTCCAAACGCCCGTACAGCTGCTATTCATTTAACCTGGCTGGCCACCGTTCTACTCCTACACGGTCTTCCAACTAGAACGAAATTACCCGTGACTCTACATCACCCTGAATCTGTGTTGATCTCCTCGTTTAATCCGGATCCAGCCGCCACACAAATGCGTTCCCCGTCTCCGAAAGTGGCAACCTTGACGACCGTCACGGGGATTTCCAGAAACTGACGTATACCAGTACAATGACGGTATGGCGCTGTCATCCCTGGCATGATGACACCCTCAACCATCCTTTTCTTATCCTCGAACTTCACCTGTTGCCCACTTGAGCCTGTGATTGCGAGAACGATTACATTTGGCACCTGGACATAACCACCTCCAGAGCGGGCTTCTTCCAACCCGCTGAACCTTTTCGTCCCGGTTTAGACTACCGGGTTTTCTGCTGCGATACTGGTTTACCTCCTCCAAAATTTCAATTTCATTTGCGATGGTCGATTGGCCCTAGGCATTGACACTATACCCCTATCAAAACTATCCTTTAAATCTGATGTTCCTGCAACAGTGACACTAGTGTGTCGGTTTAGTCCCAATTTAAACCGTATTTCCGAGACAAAACTTGCTATTTGCCTCCGCTTCGAATTCTTTAACCTCTAATTCCATTTTTGCTTTCCGTGACCCTGACCATTTACTCAACCGGCCAAGATCACTCATGGCCAGCTTCAGTTTAAGTCAGCCGGCTTCATCACTGAAATGGTCGTACCTTATGATCATTGTCGCAGTTTTTTCAGTGCTCAAAACTGCGGCGAATTTTTTACGTGATAAGCCATCCTACCGGTTGTGTTATTGTTCACCGAGTTCCTGTTGTGATTAGCCGATCATGTTCAAGTGACAGCTTTCTTAAATGTTGCGAAATGAACCTGCACGGGTTTAATTTGAACGTGGTAGGTGCCTCTGAGATGTGAAAGCCATTTTGGCCGTTACTGGATAGCGAAGACAAGTTTACAGTCAGTTTACGAACCCCAGCACTGAAGTCAATAATCGATATCCGATGACAAAGCTCCTGGCTGGTAAGAGTTCTACTGCGTTCTACTGGGGTTCCGAGCCACAGTGAGGGCGACGGAGTTGCTGTTTATATTGAACCACCGGGTATCACCCTTGGGAGGCAGCAGTGGGGTGAAATGTGAACTAGATTCTCTGAAGGTGCAGATTCAACATCCGTTACCCACTCACTAAAGACTCACAAAGGTTATATCCATCGCCATCGGAGGAAAATGAGGCCTTGAATTCCGAGAATCAAACCTAAGCCACTTGACCTTGCGAGTGCCCCGCATACATCGCTCTCTAATTTCACCTTCTCTTGCGTCCAATAATGTGCACAATCACTGATTCTTGACGTCACTAAACCAGTGTACACGGGAATCTTTCATTATCGACTATGGGATTACTTGAGCAAGTATCGCTTTTATCTTTATTACAGTTAGAATTTTAAGCACTCTTACCGACGTTACAAAGGACATAAAATAGATTATGCATATCATATTCATCGTCGGGCAATAGTGGTGTATGAAAAACTAGACTGAGTTACTATCCGTTGCCGTCTTGCCGGTGCAATAAATAATTGGAAACAGTTTGTCACTGGTGTTTTCATAAGGCGCGTTCACGGCGGACCGACAGCGCACACAGATATGGTGATGAAAAGCTATCACTGGATATTGGATCAAGCCATCAGGATAGTAAAGCTCCATTAGCAACTGCACCCACAGATACTAGCCCAGCAGTACAATGGCGACTCGTGTGCTTATGATGACGAAGTGCCAATACAGGTCATTGGAATGGGTCGTGATTCCTAGTGGGTGAGATCCATCAGCTGAACGGTTGAAACTTGAAGTTAATTGTTGGAGGAGGACCCATTTTCAGCTGGATATCTGCACATACATGATGGCGATAATAAGCAGCGCTCATTTTCAACAATGCGGTAGCTTCTGTCCAAATATTATACCCCATGCAAATCCAGCGCAACAATACTTCTTATCTATTGCATCAGACGAGCACAACGAATCCATAATTTATTAGAGTATCCACCTGGTGCGAATCTTCAATGGAAATCACGTGAACGTTTTCACAGAGATTATTAGCACCGTTGTCTGTTGAAATTTGAAATTCGCATTTATGGTTTGTTGGTCATCTGCCAGTTACACGCAACCCGTGACCTTGAAATTCCAGTGGATTAAACAAACGGCTATGAGCAGCATGTCGCGACGTCTAAATTGATCAACTTGCCGCGAAATTTGAAACTTCGAAATTCAGGAACCGAAATTAATTTATATTTTTTTCTAACGATATATAAATATTCACATCTTAGTTCTGGGCTCACAGACTGTAGAAAGGCACAAATGTCAGGTGAATCTTCGTGTTCGAGGCAAGCACAATTTGTAGCCACCCTGTTCTTGTGGCGGAGTTTTTCAATAGCAGAACGAAAACGTGGTTTCGCAATTTAAGTGTGATGTTGGCAC